TTTGTGAATGTTTACGTCATAAAATATTACTGCATTGGACTCCTGTACTTCGATTAGCCAGTTCCGTCAAACATTGGTTAGCATGTAACACTTTACTATGTCTTTCTGATACCCCTGTACTTGACACACATTGGTGAGCACCATCACCTTGCATACACCATTGCAGTAATCCTGCCTCACCGTTATGCAGTCTAGGCCTATGGATTTGAACTACGTCCTCCGCCAGTCCGCAAACTAGCGGATAACAGCAATGATATGTAGCAGAAATAGACACCACCTCATTTTGGAAGGCAACTGCAGGTGAGATTTTCTGCACGGAAGGTCCGCACTTGCGGTCTATTTCTCTTCTCCGTTCACCCGACCAAATGAACCCTACTCACATATTGCCAGGTGGTACGGCCATGCTAGGTGACCATGTGTTTCGCACCAAATCCAATGGCTTGTTTTATTTCCAGATAATCACCTGCCGCACCCATATGTTGTGAACGATGCACGCTGACTGCTTGGATATGCACAATCTCGGTACCTCTTGAATCTGTAAGTCTAGCTTGCGTTACATCTTTGCATAATGGTTTCCAGTGTGTTTGTGGCATAATTTTCAATACATGGTTCATCAGTTCTTACGCGTCGTGGGTCAAGAGCGCAGAAAGCGCTCTTCATAACGACGTAAACATTTGGAATGGGTACAAATATCCGCCTTGAAGTTCCAGACTTGTTTCCCTTTCATTACCATGTTGCATAAATTAGGCCGTATTTCAGTGATTATGCAGCGATAGGGATGTCCAACATTTGCTTACCATGACCCAAAAACTGAAATTAAGTTTGAGCCGCGTAACCCTTGTACTAATGACATTGATAAAACCCGTTCTATGCAAGCTAATGTGGGCAAAGGTAACAAAGTTCATGGAGGTGTGTGAACTTCGAAGTATGTTTTATTAGCAGTGGTACTGAGGACACCGCTATGTCGCCAACATGGGCTCAATAAACGCCGGTCGCGAAAGACTGTGGAGCCAACAATTTCCTCTACGCTAGTCGCCATAATTAAACAGATACTATGGGACAAATATAGGATAACTACGATTACGTCTCGAAGGCATGTACAGCCAATATTTGTAGTTTACGTTGTGGTAATATTGATGTTAGTGTCTTGGGACTTATATGGATTAAGTAACCACCGTTCGTGGAGGTTCGTAGAGCTACCGGCAATTTTAATGTGCCTCGGTTGGACATACATAGGCCTACGCTAGTGAAGCCAATATGGATGCCGGTTGACTTGCGAGCATGCCGCTCCAGTTATGGGACCTATAATACTTCTCTGTGCACTGGTCACGCAGGCGAAGCAACCAAGGGAATCTTCTTGATTGCTGACAGTAATGTCACATCTGTGGCAGTTATATAGGCTTACTAAGTACACATCACGTTGGCATGAATATCCAACTGTATAGCACCATGTCTTCCGGTACTTGCAACATGTCGCGTCCCTGTACTTCATTCGTCAGTGCTCCAGCAAATGACCACATGGGAAAATATAAGTGTGCAGGGAACTGATTTACGTTTATTTCGAAGTACCTTGTCTACCGCGCCTCTTGTTCACCTTCGTGCACTCATGCTGCACGCTGTGATTTGTTCATTGCACTGCAGTGCCACCCATGTGAGTGGTGTTGCTCCAATCAATTACTTTTCAGATTAAGGATTTTTGCGCATGCTTCAGCACTTTACAGCCTACTCCGCATATAGCATAACCTGTACTCAGGTGTCACAACTGCCCGCCACGACGTTCTCACGCCCCTGCTTAGTCCGCACTGTTAACTGCCTCCGCTTTTCAATTACTTCGTGAACGACCGGAAGGCCTTTATCAGGGTCATCCTATGTTCTATAACCATGTGCTGCCTTATTACAGGCCATGGTGCTCACTCCTATGCTTGCATGTGCCTCATAACGTGACCGCTAGTTCAGTGAATGCCTCCATAATCGTAGCCCACATTCACTGACGCTCGATTGCACTTCCGGTTCTTAAGCACAGCCCCTCTATGCCGTGACCGAAAATCACCAAATACTTTTCAGCAGTGTCGCTTTGCGGGTTATGAAAACTTTGCGCACTCCGAACTCATACAACAGTAGTCGCATATGGTTCGCATGTTTGTTCTCACACACAAGAAAAACAGTCTGAATAATACATATGTCTCGACTTGCTGTGGACGTTGTTAGCCATGTGCAGCCCTTCCAATTCCATCCCACTCAACAACGCCACGGCTAAATTATAAGTGCGCGCCTGAGCTCTTCAGTAAGTTACCCGTTGTGATGCAAGCGCTTTCTTTTCGCATAATAAGAACTTAGCACACTGCGTTCATGCGTGTACTGATACGCCAAGCAATCCTATATGGATCATAAGCTCCGTTAAATGATGAGCGTACCTTATCATACCAATTATTACATATCAAATTATTCCGTGTTCTTCCCTTGTAGCACGGTGAGCAGATTTCCGCTCACATAGTATAAACGTTTACTGATCTAAGTAACTTTTGAAGAAGTTCCATTGCATGTTGTCCACCCGAAGTCAGTACACATGGCTACATTGCAGTTGGCAAGTGCATGTGGAAACAATTATGCAGTTGATCTATTATTATGCAGCATGATGATTACCAGTGCTGCCATACAAAGAAAGAAAAATGCCTCCCTACATGGGGAATGCCCGCAGTTACCGATCAACGAATGTGTTACCACATTTTCCAATTTAAGTCACACATGCAAACATCCATATGTATACCATTAATAAAAATAAGTCTAACTATCTGAACGTGTTAGCTTTATATAGATATATATATATATATAAGACTTCTGTCCAACAGCATATATTTCTGTATACATATAATTTTGTTCTGGTTTTATCATTTGTCATCATATAAAAATATGGTATAAATAAATATATATATGAATATATATATGCCTTTCGGACGATATATATACACACTACCTTGGATATCTGGTAGTTATTCTTAACTGCAGTTTCACATCATATATCATGCCATTACTACTCATCATTAAGTTTGCACTAACACTGCGCATTATGCCCACTGGGTGGCCGGTACATTAATAATTCGAAATGAATCTCGCGTCAATAAGTTGCAGATACTTCAACACGATGCACAACTGTACTCATCGTGTGAGTTCACATTACTATTGCCACTTTTTCAGCAGCTAAGTCACGCCGACCATTATGTAGTTTTGTGTACTTCTCATATGCTTTTACAAGTTCTCATACTTTATTGCATAATTCAAAATAATAATGCTTCACGAATTCCTTCACCGGTTAACATTTAACAACACTACCATGTCCATTAGATTTTTCTGCAGGATTTTATTTATTTCAGGTTGCGTATTCCCTGCTTTCCCCGTTGCAGCAAATGATATTTTAAAATAATTATTCACCAACCAACAATCCCAGCACACCATGCGAGGTAAGCCTGAATAATATATTTCGTACAACATTTTGCCACATTTTCATTGATAACCAACTTGAAGTAGGCTTACTTATATTAGATGGCTAACATGTTTACTACTAAGAGGAAGAATTTTAGGGAAAGTGGTACGAAGATCGTCGAAAGCTTACCGTACCGGTATGTGCAATTTTGATGCATACATGTTACACGCGAAGGAGCAGTAGGGAAACGGTACGTTACATATATGTGTTGGAAAACTAAATGCTTGATTTCACAGATTTCGTGATTGCCGCTGCCATGCGCGTTTCTCATTCAGTTTGAAAGGGCAACTGTATGAGCGTTACAACATCACTGGTTTCTTTGGGTTCAGTGGGGTAGTAGAGAGAATAATAAGATATCCCTTGTCAGCTCCGTCGCTTCCAGAGCATTGCTGGGATGATCGTCATTGCGCAACGGGAACTCCGGAGAGGCCATCGTACTAGTAGCTGAAGCAACACGATTCCGGCATATTCAACAGGTGTGAATCAAGCAGTCGTTTGAAGAAATCCTTCGTCTGTGCATCAAAGACGGGAGGCAGTAATGGTTTGCAATTATTCACCACGCCAGTGGATAGATCAAGAATGGGCAGTACTTTGAGCTACCGTGGTTTGAATATTTTCCATTTGTAGCCTCTAGTCGAACTCCCGATGCTGAGGTGGAAGAATTCCTACAACTCTCTCCCTGGTTCTCCCCTGAGGATACGACGGAAAATCTAGTCCACACTCCGTCGACGGTACTCCGTAGAAAACACATTCAAATGTCGAAGACGAAGGGGATACGGCAGGTCACGTAACTCGGAGACAAACTTCAATCCATGCCGTTGGACCTACTCGAATATGTCGCGCTCAAATT